GGGGGGTTGCAGGGTTTGGGTTCAAGGGTTTAGGGGGCTTCTTGGGGCTTAGGGGTTTCAGGGTTTAGGGTGATTATTTACAGGGTGTAGGGGTTTCAGGGTTTAGGGTTTTGGGGTCTAAAGGTTAAAAGGTTCAGGGGTTTGGTGGGTTTAAGGATTTTAGGGCTTTGGATTTTAGAGGATGCAAGGAGTTCAAGGGTTTAGAGTTTAAGGTTTAGGGTCGAGGGGCTTGGGGGTGTGCTGTGAGCTTTTTGGTTTCGGATTTAGTTCCATCATGCTGGGGGGTGGGAGGGCCTTCGGTGCAGACTTGTGGATGGTCTGTTCGTGTTCAAAAGCTTGGGGGCAAGGGGGGGGGGGGGGGGGGGGGGGGGGGGGGGGGTGGGGGGGGGGCGATACTTAAGGCTGCAGGCTTTGCAACTATAACTTAGTAGCCCAGTAACCACCTTATAATATGGGCACATTTTTTCCGTCGGTTACTTTATCAGGGAACCCAGAACCAAAAAAACAAAGGTAAAGGGTACCACTGGGCTACCAAGATAAGGGGCTTGGAGTTTGGGTTGGGTTTGGGATGGCAGCTCGCTTCTTTGCCTCGGGTTGGCGTTGGCTCCGGAAACCCTGGAACTAGATTAGCGCAGGTAGAGTGTGTGGTTGCGGGAACCTGGCATACTTTCTGCATAATCCTGTGCAGAACTACCTTCAAACCCAACTTTCGTCAGTTCTCACGAACTCAGACTGCCACACCCTTCATGAAGCACTACCCTGAACTATAAGGCTCAAATGCCCAAACAAGCAAAACTCGCAACGCGGTCAGTGTAACCCCCGGCCCTGAACTCCACCAACCTAGGAACCCAAAAGGAAGTCACCTTGCCCTAAAGGCACTAAAGCTCTGAACAAGCACCCTGACCACCCCATCCGCTCCCCCAGAAAGGAGCCGAAGGGCATACGTGGCGCACAAGACGCGCAGTCAGGCTGGCCAAGACGCAAAAGGACTCCTGTGCAAGTGCGAGTGTAGGTGTGCCCATCTTTGATCCATAAACCCCGATACCGTAAGCATTTTGGAGGCTCAAGTTTTGTTTATGCCTAGTCGCTTTGGCTAACTCCCCCAAATTGCACCTTAAATTGCGGTTTAGGGTTTAGGGTTTAGGGTTTTGGGTTAGGAACTCGAATATACCTTGAAAGGTAGCAGGGGCGGTTCGTGTGGAGGGCCTCGGGCTGCTCTAGGGTTTCGATAGGTTGGTTACTGGCAGATTCGGGACTTGCATGTCAGGGCACAAAGCACACAACTGAGAGACTTTGCCTTGCCCATTTAAGGCTTAACCCGAAGCCCTAGGGCCCTTAATGCTACGGTACAATAAGCCCTCAACCCAGATCCATTCTTCGAACATGACGACGCTCAAAGCCAAACCGTACGCTTTGTAGGGGAGAAGCTGAACTGTATGTGTGGGGAAGAGAAGCACCTTTCTTTAGAAAACCTGAACACATTGACTCCTACATCCTCTGCCTAAAGCCCCAAAACCCTAAAAACTCAAAACGCTCTGAACCCTATAAACCTTAAAGCCCATAAAGACCTCATAAACCCGAAAAAACCTAAACCCTGCAAAACCCTGTAAGGCCTAAAAAAAAATTAGCCCAAGAAAGCCCTGAAAATGACCGGGGTTCTAAGCCCTAAACCCCAAACCACTAAACCCTAGACCCCAAACCCTATATACACCCTACTAGACCGTAAACCCGAAACCCTGCCAGTCTTTCTGGCCTCTTCAGCGCCCAGCACTGCGAAGAGTCGCGGAAGCCGCGGCCTTGGCACCGAGGTGAGGCTTCTAGGGTTTCGGGTTTAGGGTTGAGGGTTGAGGGTTTAGGGTTTAGGGTTCGGGTTTCGGGTTTAGGGTTCAGGGTTCAGGGTTTATACAGGGCTGAGGGTTTTTCATGCGGTGAGCGGGCGGTCGATAGCAGGATCACCGGGGTCGCATGAGAAAAGCTAACTTCAATTCGATGTTCTGTCTGCCTCGAGCTCAAACGCATCCTCAGCCTCATGATGGCCTGGCAACACGACTTTTGTGCGTGTGTGGAGTGGTTTTGAGCGTCTTTTGGGCTAATAGGGTTCAGGGTGTGCAAGCTTTAGGGTTTTAGGGTTTGGAGGGTTTACAGGGTTTAGGGCTTTTTTGGGGGTTTACGGTTTAGAGGGTTTATACCTGCGACCCTCTTTACCTACAGTGTTGTAGGAACTGCCCTTAATTAGCAGGCAGGCAGCACCCATAAAATTGTAGGTAAACAAGGTTACAGGTAGAGTCCCTAAACCCTGAACCCTATAAACCCAAACCCTCAACCGCTGGTCCCAGGTAGAGTTTAGGGTTTTAATATCCAAGGCTTAGGCATGCGGTCTTGAGCCCCCAAACCCTGAGCCTTCTCACTTCTCCAACAACAGGGGCTTGAAACCCCTAAAGCCTAAAGCCCAAACCCTAAACCCTAAACCCTAAACCCTAAACCCCAAACCCCAAACCCTTACCCGTGTGTGTGGCTCCTAAGCCGCCCAAGGGACGCCAGGGTGGCAGCTGCGGTGTCCAAGCGGCGTGTTTTCGACTCCTGCGCTGATTTGGGGAGGGTTCGGGGCTCAGGGTTTAGGGTTTAGGGTTTAAGTTTAGTTCAGGGTTTAGGGTCTAGGGTGGTTTAGGGTTTAGGGTTAAGGGCTCGGGCTTTAACACAGCGAACCCTAAACCCTCTCAGGGTTTGAGGTGTAGGGTCTTTTTTGTGGGGTGGGGTGGGGGGAGGCGGGGGGGAGGGAGGGGGGGGCGGGCTGGGGGGACTGGGGTATGTAGAGGATGCGAGTGCAAGGCAATTCGGTTTAGGGCGCGCTGTATGATTAAAGCTTGCTATGTTAGAGGCTGCAGTTTCAAAGCGACCGACCTACACCCTAAACCCTAAACCCCAAACCCTAAACCCTAAACCCGACTCAGTACTGACAGTGTCTTAAGGTGCCAGAGCTCGGGGGAACTCAGGGTTCAGCAGGCTCAGGACCTGCGCCCAGGGATCCGGGTTGGGGATGCGATGCTTCCTGAGGCTTTAGAGCCCAGTGCAAGGAAGATGCCCGTAGTTCATAATTCTGAGGGTTTAGGGTTTAGGGTTTAGGGTTTAGGGTTTAGGAAATGAGGAGCTTTAACACCCGAAACCCTAAACTCTAACCTTGAACCCTGTTTAGTTTAAGGTAGCATGCTCTTCAAGGGGGCCACCGTGGGCAGGTTCCTCCAGAGAATGGAGAGCGCGACGGGCGCAAGACGCAGGAGGATTTTGGGTTTCAGGTTTCGGGCTTTGGGGGATGCTGGAGGACTTCTCTGGTTCAGGTGGTTTAGGGTTTGGGGTTAGGGGTCCAGAGTTTAGGGGGCTTACGGGGGTAAAGGGGGTTTAGGGGGGGGTGAATTGGGTTTAGGGGGGCTTGGGGGGGTTTAGGGGGTTTCGGGGCGTGGCAGGTCCTCTCAGAACCGCAGCCTCACAGAGTTTTGCCACACCTCTTTGTCTCAGCAAACAAAATCAAAGCATCCGGTCTTCATTGGCATGTCAGAGTACATACTGCACAACGAAGGAAGGATAGGCTTGCTCTCGGTCGAAGATGACGAACTCCTGGTGAACTTGGCTGAGGTTGTGGTGGCCATTGATTTGCCCGGGATTTACGACAACAGAGTCATGAGTACCTGCAGCGTCGCTTCGGCTTGGAGGCCGCTTGTTCTTCTTGAGGGTTCCACGCGCATAGTGCGCGTCGCCAAGGGCCACACGGGCAATGATCAGGGTCCTCTCCTCAACACTCAAAAGGGTTCGTGTTTCTGATTGTTGCCTACCACCATGTTGCATCAAAACATGAGAGGCGTTCCTGCTGGAAAGCCAGCTGGCATACCTTACACGAGGCTTCGGGAATATGAGGCCGCTAAGGGTCATCTAAGGTCTACAGAAGGGGTATATTGGGAAACCCACCTAAAAGTAGCCTAGATTACGAGGGCAAGGCTCCTGCTTGCATGAGCACGCTTTGCCGGAATGGGTGGAGCAAGTGTACTGATGGCTCTTGCACGCAGCGCCTGCAAAGTAGACGCCCTCCCCGTACATGCCACGATGGCAGGTCCGATGATCGAAGCCTTCCATGACGATGGCATTTGCGCTATAATAGGAGGTGCCATGCAACAAGATCTTCTCATCGATGTCACTGGCCAAAGGAGCGCCGCAGTCCAGAACATGCTGTTTTGCTGTCATCGGCCCTGTGTCCCAAACAAAGTTCTCCTTTCCTCCATCGAGGTCGAGACTTGCACCTGCTATTTTTGGGATTAGGAGTTGAAGGCTTAGGGTTTATACAACTGCATGAGCTATGCAAACTCGGAGTGGGGGGGTGGGACTCTATTTCAGCATGGCTTTTGTCAAAACAGATTGGGCCCTGGTACCGGTTGAGTCAAGCCCTGAGCGCCTTGCACAGCAATGTTGCACTTTGCGTGCTCCTCTCGCATGGCCTTCAGCCTCGCTTGGTAGCGATGCCACAACCGGAAGTTCTCAATTCGATGGATGGACTTGACCTGCGCGCTGTTCATACAGGCGCATGGGCTTTTCACATCCCATATATGACCTGTGGCTCGGAGAATGTGAGTGACAGCCACGAGGATATCCAAGTGTTTCACCTCCACGTAGAAGGATGCCCAGGTGGGACTCTGCGTCAAGAGCGCTGATGGGGAGCTCTGCCACTGCGCCGGCACTCCGGTGCAGATGCGGATGTTGCGTAGCTTTTTCGTTGCGGTATTTTGCTGCGTCATCTTTTCGAAGTCAACGACGCGCGAGATGCCCCCGACCACAATGTCTGCCATGCGATGATTCCGCCTGTCAGAAGCATAGGCCACGTAAGCCTGGTTCATCAGGTCACTCCCTTCTGGTAAGAAAGCGAACCAACTGCCGTCAAGCTCGTACTCCCAAGACGCACCCAGGATGGCAGAACTCTTCCTGGTGCGATCTTTACAACTTACTGATGAGACTTCCTGGTTCCTTGGAAATTAGTGCATGAGGTACCAATTATCCCCCTGCACGTAAGAACATCTACAACAGGTACCTTACTCATTCCCTACTGAGAACTGTAAGGTAATCTCCTTCAACATACCAAAAGCTAAATCTCCCAGAGATCAGCCGCATCTCTGCTTCTGCAACTCGAGCAGCTTCTCTTCCGCAGAGACCCGCCACGTGCGCTCAACATTCAGTTCAGCCTGAGGGTAAACTGCCCTAAGCGTCACACCTTGAATCTCAAAAGGCTAAACCCCAAACCCAAGCACTAAAGCCCTAGACCGTATGATTGCTAGCTAAGATCTGCCTACTGACCCAGCATCCGAACTGGAAGTGGAAGTGGATTCATTTAAAGCCAAGCTGGCAGGGTTTATAGGGTTCAGGGTTTGAGGGTTTGGGCATTATAGCTGACGATTCCTATAGTTGCGGATTGGTGAGTTGCTAGTGAGTATTGATCCTGGCCTGGAGCTGCTTAACTGTGCCCGCGTCAAGCCTTGCCTTCGCTAGCGCCTCCTCTGAAGCTTTATGCCCGGCTTGCAGCGTCTCGCGCTCATGACGCTCCTTCGACAGCGCCTCTTCAGCTGCCGTTAGCTTCTGCTGAAGAAGCAGATGCTCCTCTTGAAGACTTTTGTGCTGCCTACGCTCCTTCGACAGCGCATCCTCAGCTGCCACCAACTTCTCTTGAACAAGCACGTGCTCCTCTTGGTGAGCAAGGTCTCCATGCGTCCAGGAGCGCCAATTCTTCATTGAGCTTTCGGCCGCATGCCAGTGGGGACCCTGAGAATGACTGGCCCAATCCGCCCAATCCGAACTACCTGCCCAATCCTGCCGACCCCACTCACACTTTCTTGGACTTTTAGGATATATCCAGTCTCTTGAGTCCCTTGAATCCCGTGAATCGTCTCGGCACCGCGTCGTCGCATGCGCGCAGCTCTTCCGTTTCTCATCGATTGGGTTCTGCAGATGGTCGTGGCATCTGGGGCGTTGCGGGTTGAACAAAGCATCGCGGGAGTCTCTTGAATCGCTGCGTGACCTACCTCTGCGTTGATTGTGGGCCACAGGATGATCCTCCACCTCCGGACCGTGCCGGGAATCTCGAGAATCTCTTGAGTTGCATCGAGCTTGAGGAAGCTGCTGATGAAAAGCCCGCCTTGGTTTGACGAGCCTCGCAAAGCCACCTGCTTCCGAAGAAGGCCTGGCCGGGGGAATAATCAAACCTTGCCCATTAGGTTGGCGCTTCGCATGCTTGTATCGGACCCATGTCTCATGGGCACTGCTCTCCGCTTCGACCACCGGACTGCCATCCTTGTTCGGAATCGAAGGATACACGCTGGCAGCCGGATAAGGCACAGAAGTCTGTTCCTCATCCATCTAGCGAGCAGACGTGCCAAGCACGCCGCTCCATGCAACGATCTGTTGTTGCTTGCACTTGTGATAAGCCGCGATACCTACAAGCACTCACGAAGTCATGGAAAATGTGGCATCCAGCCTTACAGAGCTCACACAGCATGGGAAGAAAAGAAGACGAGCCCACCTGCAGATGAGCATCAAGCATCGGCTAGTCTGAGAGTCGTCTAATCTGCAAATCCATCTTCTGAAGTCCAAGCAAGCACGCATCTGTGAATAGATAGGTCCATACATACATACCATGCCATGCCACTACAAAAAATCAAAACAGAAAACACGTCGGTGCTGTCTTCAGTACTGACAGTCAGATTTCGAGTCTCCGCTTCGGTAAAGCCCTGCCTAACGCCTCCTAAACCGTGAAGGCCCCAAAGACCTAAAAGGCCTCAAAGACCTCAAAGGCCCGAAAGGCCTAAAAGGCCTTGAATGCCCTTTAGGGCCCAAACCTCTTCGGCCTTAAAGGACTTGGGTTTCAGTCCCCTGCATAGAAGCAGCTACCCCCCCCCCCCCCCCCCCCTCCAACAAAAAAAATCGGTGTGTAGGCCCCCAAAGGAAATGTTTAGGGTTTAGGGTTTAGGGTTTAGGGTTTAGGGTTTAGGGTCACAAACCCACTTGGACTTGGTATGGAGTTAGTATAATACCCAAACCCCAAACCCCTTGAGACCCAATAGAGGGGTCGGAATAATTACTAATAGATGTTCCCTTATGATCCCTTTGTGACTATAATAACCCCCGAAAGCCTATTCTAATTATTCAGACCCCCATATTGCCCTAAACCCTAAACTCTAAACCCTAAACCCTAAACTCCCAACCCTAAACCCTAAACTGTTAAAGCCCTCCTCCGACTCGGCGCAGGCTAAGGCGCCATCGAGCGCGAAGAGCAGGGCCTTGTGCAAGCAATGCTGGGTTAGTCTTAGGGTTTAGGGTTTAGGGTTTAGGGTTTAGGGTTTAGGGTTTAGGGTTTAGGGTTTAGGGTGTAGGGTGTAGGGTTTAGGGTTTGCTTTAAGGTTTAGGGTTTAGGGTGGGCTTATAAGGTTTAGGGTTTACGTTTGTGTTTTTTAGGGTTTGGGGGGGCGGCGGGGGAGGGGGTTACGGGTTTAGGGGTTTAGGGGTTTAGGGGTTTGGGGGTTTGGGGGTTTAGGGGTTTAGGGGTTTAGACTTAGGGTCTGCTTTTGGTCGCACAGGTATGTTGGGTACGTAGTCTTTATTGCACTGACACGGGGATTGCACCTATAGGATTGCTTGAGGGGCTCTCGACAGGAATAATCCCTAAAAGAGAATGCCATCCATAATGAGCAACTTGTATGTGGGGCCGATGGCTACGGGGCGTCAGGTCCAGGAGATGGTTGTTTTGGGGTTTAGGGTTGTAGGGTTTTAGGGGCTGAGGGTTTAGGGTTTAGGGTAGGGGGTTGTTTTGGGGTTTTAGGGTTGTAGGGTTTTGGAGGCTCAGGGCGCAGGGTATCAGATCTACATCACTCTTCCGGCGGCTCCACTTGAAGGAGAGGGATCAGTTCTTTCAAAAGGAAGATGAACACATTGCGGTTAGTGTTCCTTTGGGTGTTGCATCGACAAAAATATAAATGCTATCAGGCGACACTACCACCGGACGATTAACATCCCAATCTGGCATTTTTGCAGGTCATAATAGATACAGAATATAAAGCGCGAAAAAGGATTCTCATGTGAGAATGCAGCCCCCAGCCTCAAGTCCGGCCTTGAACCCTAAACCCTAAACCCTTACACCCTAAACCCTTACACCCTAAACCCTCAACCCTTACCCCTAAACCCTAAAGGCAAAACTCGCACCCACGTCTCCCTCTCTCTCTCTCTCTCCCTTTGTGGGTCCTGCCGCTGGCGGCTGGGCAAGCCTCAATGGTGCGGCGCAAGATAACCCTAAACCCTAAACCCGAAGCCCTAAACCCTAAACCCTAAACCCTAAACCCTAAACCCTAAACCCTAAACCCCAAACCGGAGATCTGCTAAAACTTGGAGCGCCAGAGGGGAGACGTGCGCACACCCTCGAGTGACACTAGTTGGGATGTTCCCCCTTACACTAACAGTCCTTAATCGGGATGTTCAGGGTTTAGGGGTACTATAATCCAGTAATAAAATCTTAAAATTTTAAATTCCTTATTGAGTTTAAGTACCCTTAAAAATGTAAAAATGTTACCCCACTATGATAAAGCTTATACTAACAGTCCTTAATCGGGATATTCAGGGTTTAGGGGTACTGTACTGTAATCCCTACTAAGGACAGCCTGCCTGGCAGCTTTCCTGCGCAAGTTTGACACTGCATGGCACGACTGCAGCCTCACCGGGTCCGAAGTGGAGGACTTCATCGCCAGGTCGGCCAGGGTTTCAGAAGGGATTTATTCATTGATGTGTTCAGGGCGTTTGGTTTGGTTGACCCCTGAAGCTAGCAAGCCTGGCAGGGAAGGGGAATGTAGGAGTCCAGAATTGAATCCCAGCCCTGCTTCAGGATACGGCGTTTGTTTCTGGACGGCCGCGTTCTGGAGCCATCGACCGATGGGCCCGCTGGGCCCGAGATGACCTGCACGCAAATGGTCGTGGAGCAGGCGATGGGCGCGAAGGCCATTTTCTATGGCGACAAACAGCACTTCTTATGGGACCCGCGGAGTGGAAGGAAACAATATGATGCAGTGCTCACCTCCATGGCCACGGTCGTGAAGCTTGTCATCAACCGCCTGCAAGCAGAGTTGCCAAAGCAAGCCCTGGAAAATTGCTTTTCGATTTTCAACGTTGCTGCTGCGAAAGCGGCCCGAGATGGTGATCAATGGCTCGTTTACGAAACCGCTGTCCGCGCTCGATTTGCTAGTATAGGGGGAAGATCCCAAAACACTCGGGGCTGAACTCCAGTGTAGGATCTTCTGTACTGCGTTCTTTTGTAGCTGTTCCTTCCTCCCTTCTGGTTCCCTTGTCGTCCTTCCTCGCTTCCATCCTTTCATACTGCTGTCCTGCCTTGTGTCCTCCAAGAGTTCTACCGTCCGTCGTTTCATTCTTCCCTCCTTCGTTCTGGACCTCCTCCCTCCTTCCTTCCGACCTACTGCCTTACTTACTTTGCTTCCTTACTGCCCCCCTTCCTGCTATACCCCCAGGCCGAAAACCCGAGACCAGCGGTAAACCTCTACTTTCCAGAAAGCATAGGCCGGAACAAACGCTAAACCCTGAACCCTTAGCCTAAGCTAGCATAAACCAACTACCTGTACTTCACAATATTTCTGGGCTCAGAGCGGTTTACAGTTTAGGGTTCCTACTAGGTTGGGATCTTCCCCCTTATACTAACAGTCCTTCATAGGGATTATAGTATACGGGGGAACATGCCAAGTTCTGGGGGGTATAGTGGGGGGGGGGGGGGGGGGGGGGGGGGGGGGGGGGGCTGATAGGGGTTTAGGATTTAGGGCTCTTGGGGAGGTTTGGGGTTGGGGGGGAGGGGGGGTGCGGGTGCGGGTATGCTGTCCCATGTAGAGGTTTTAGGGTTTAGGGCTTACTTGCAAGTTCATGTGTTGCAAGCAGGGCCCTATGTGATCTAAGTTCGGGTTGCACATGCAGCTGCCCTGTAAAATACCTATGGACCTTGACGCAGGATTTAGGCTTTCTATTCGCCCAGCCCCTCAACCCTCCATTCTTGAGGGTTCTATCTAAATGAAGGTGCCTGTCAGAGAGCCTGCATATGGTCACTTCTCCAGAAAATGCGGTCCTTCATGGGTCCTTCTTATAAGGCGACCCAGGGTACCCAAAAAGGGACCATAATTCAGAGAACGGACTATATGGAACAGTCCCCATTTCGGGCTTATAGGGCTTTAGGCTTCTCCAGTTTGGGGACACAAGAACTGAGCCATTAGACCCAGAAAAGTGGCCCTCTTCGGTGTACAGGGGCTTATAGTTGGGAACCTAAACCCTAGAGAAAAGGGGGGGAATAAGAGCCTACTCTGGTCCTAGTAGCCTCAACCCTAAACCCTAAACCCTAAACCCTAAACCCTAAACCCTAAACCCTAAACCAAAACCCCAAACCCTAAGCCCTAAATCCTAAACCCTACTCTGGGTCCTTGGAACTGAGCCATCGGCTGGGCACAGCTCGGGCGGCACCCTCACCCTCGCCCACGAGGCACAAATCCTTAGCCAGGAGACGACAGGAGGGTTTAGGGTTTAGGGTTTCGTTTAGGATTTAGCGTTTAGGGTTTTAGGGTTTAGGGTTTGGAGTTTTAGAGTTTAGGGTTTAGGGTTTGGAACTTCCTAGGGACGAAGTGAACCCTAAAAGGGTTTCTGCTTCATATACCTTAACAGGAATTGGAGTAGTCTAGGGAGTATGGGCCCAATTTAGAGGTTCATTCGGTCCTCAAGGCTTAAGATGTATGCCAGACATCAACCCCTGATGCAGACTGTGGGTGTTTAAGTATCCACTCTATTTTGATGCAGGGCTTCTTCGGGAGAACGTCGTGCCTAAACCATAAACCCTAAACCCTAAACCCTAAGCCCTAAACCCTAAACCCCAAACCCCAAACCCCAAACCCTAACTCATGCTCGACTTCAGAAGATGCCGTCCCAGCCGCTGCCAGCGCCGCCCAGCACTGTAGCGGTGCCGCTCGACGCCACAGGGCCTGACGAGTACTTGGAAGGCTCTCGAGGGACTCCGAACCCAGAGACCAACGGACTTTGGCTGAACTTTAAGGACTCCGATTTGAAGATTAGTTATAATAACCAAAGACCACCTACATACTACATCATGTTGTAAGCGGCTTGACATAGCCATGCTGGGTCGAGTATGGCCCTAGGTTTCTGCCAGAGACGTGCGAACAGGACCCACAACTTCAGACTTCTGCGCGCACCCCCTAAACCCACACCCTAAACCCTAAACCCTAAACCCTAAACCCTAAACCCCAAACCCCAAACCCTAAACCCTAAACCCTAAACCCTAAACCCTAAACCCTAAACCAAGCCTGCACAAA